TTGCTGTTTTTAACACTTTAATGTTGTTGGACAAGAAATTATCCATAAGAATGCTTTAACTTAACGCACAAGAAACTTAACTAACCATTAAAAATTATCTACAAATTTTACCACCATTCAAAAAATGGCGCCATCTATAATTGAATAACTACACTTTCAATTAAATTTTGTTGTATTAATTTATCATATAAATGTAAGATTAATATAAAAATGTTAAACGTTTTCTCAAATAGAAAGTTATTTTTTTTTAATTATTTATTATAATTTTCAATTTATAAGAATAATAATCATCATGACGTTAGCTTTTTAAAATATGTCAAGTTTGAAACGTCACCTGTCATCTTTATCCAAATGCATTTTCACAGGTTAATTAACATTAAAGTATTGTTTTAATTTAACAACTTATAACTTTATAATAATGGCTGGTTCGGCACTAAGACGACTTATGGCAGAATATAAACGTAAGACACCAAAAAAAGAATTTTTTTCCCTCTAAAATTAATCAATATTTACAAGATTAAGGGTGTAATGTAAACTTTTCTGTATATTTAGAATTAACGTTAAACCCCCCAGAAGGAATCATAGCGGGACCAATAAACGAAGAAAACTTTTTCGAATGGGAAGCATTAATAACGTAATTAACTTAAAATAAATTATTAAAAAACGCATCAATTTTAATGTAAAGATTATAGGGGACCCGAAGGAACTTGTTTTGAAGGTGGAGTTTTTCCTGCAAAGTTAACATTTCCCCCTGATTACCCTTTAAGTCCGCCGAAAATGCAATTTACTTGTGAGATGTTTCACCCAAACATTTACGCGGATGGAAAAGTTTGCATTTCTATTTTACATGCACCTGGTGATGATCCAATGGGGTATGAATCAAGTGCTGAGAGATGGTCACCTGTTCAAAGTGTAGAAAAGATATTGTTATCTGTTGTTAGTATGTTAGCAGGTAAGTTTTAAGAGATTTAAAAAAATTATAAATGATTAAAAATTGTTATGTTGTTTTTTAGAGCCAAATGATGAAAGTGGTGCGAATGTTGATGCTGCAAAAATGTGGAGGGAAAATAGAGATGAATTTAATAAAATTGCAGAAAGAATTGTGAGAAGAACTTTAGGTATTCCCACATAAATAAAATAAGAAATAGTGAAAAAAATTTTGATTTTATTGGGGTTTTATTACCTTTATTTTTATTATTTCAAATAAACAGAGTTTGTTGATAGATATTTTAACATGTCGTCCACATAAATCTATATATTATGTAAGCACAACTATTTTTTTTTCTTTGTAATTATTTTAGGGGTTTCGATATATATTTTATTTGTTACAAAAATACGTTTTTTTAACTCGTCCTTTCATTTTTTTTTAATCAATCTCTTAAACATTAATGTTTTAAATTAAAAAAAGAAAAGAATATTATTTTTAGATGAAATATAAAAACCTAAAAACGTTTTCTTTTGATATAATTAAAGAATTAATCATATATTGCCTTATTTATTTATTTTCGTGGATGTATCATATTTTATTTCATTTGGTTTATTTCTTTATATCGTTGTGTATCTGTTTTATGGCACAGTAAACCATTTTTATTTCATTTTTCGAAGATAAACAACATTTCTTCAAGTTGTTTGTTTTTTTTTTTTTAATTAATAATTCACATAAATTATGTGATATCCAAGACAAAATATGACCTAATTCTAATCTTTTTTTGTTTCATTTAAAACTGTTGTAAAAGTATTGATTACAACGTGGCGAAAACGTTTTTAGGACGGACCGTTTAATGTAACCACAATTGAACATATATAACTTATTCTTTTCGTTTTAGATTGATTTTTATTTTTTAAATTTTATTTGGACGTACAATAAGTCTTTTTTGGGAGGTATTTGGTACATTTAATAAGGTTTTTTTCGATAAATTCGAGTTGTTTCTAAAAAAAAGGAATTGAGTACGGAAAAATATTTATTTTTTTCTTTTTTTGGGGAAGAGTTTAAGATTAAGAACAATTAATTCGTATTTGCCTCAAAGTTGTTTTTTTTAAACTTTGAGGCAAAAATCTACATCTTAATTAAACTTAATTAATATTTAATAAAAGAAATAAAGAAAACGAAAAGATAAAAATGTATATAAACTCGTTTATTAATTATTATTAAGTTAATTTTAAAAAACTCATACATATAAGCTAAGATAAATACAAAGATTTGATTGTATTTAACCCCAAATTTTTGTATTTATTCAGATCGTAAATTAAAATTAAAAACGAAACAACAACTTCAATGTAATAAAAATACATTTACTACATAGAATTTAAAAAATTTACCAAGAAAAAATAATATTCTATGTAATTCTATGTACAAGATAGAAATTTACAACAATCACAGATAAGACACGTTTTTACATTCTCTGTCAAAACATATTCCTCAATTTGAGAAATTGCACATGATACATTTTTTTATTCGTCTCCAACAAACGTCCTCTTTTTCTACCTCTTCGTCCGCGATTTCGGCTTCTTCGTTTTTTTGCTGAAATCATCATCGGATTGGGAGAGTTCTTCGAATTTTCTTTTCGACTTCCCTATAATCACAACCATAATCAATCACTTTTTCACAATAATTATTTATTATTGTCGTTATAATAAAGTATGTCCAACAAAAAAAATTCATTTCAAGATTAATTAAAATCTAAAACAAATACTTTTTAAACACAATTCTTTTTATTGAACATAACAATAAAAATCTCGTATAAATAATTTCATTTTGATTAAATTAATTTTTGTTTTAATTTTGGACAATTATTTCTTACGAGAGTTAATGCAAAAAAAGGGTTAAATAAAGCAAAAGAATTCATGCGAAAGCACAAGAACATTTATTTTGATTATTTTTCATTTTTTAATTTTGAGATGGATATATAACGTACCTTTAGTGAGATTTTGAAAAGTCTGTTGTTTTTCTCCGTTTTGCCTGGGCTTATATCCTAAAAGAAAAGGTACATGCATTAAAAAATAACCGAATTGTTGGGATATCAATGCATTTTATGTAATAAAATTAGTAATTTTGCAAAATACCTAAACATATTAATTTGTAAAATTTTAAAAAAATGATATATGTTCAATCTCAGCTTTTTAATTTTTCCCTTGATGATGAAGTTATTCCATTGACTGGGTGCAGACATCAAAGACCAAAAAGGTCACGGATCTACAGACTTTAAATTGACATAGCATAAATTGCGATTAAAAAGCAAGGCGAAATCTTTAGACATACAGTGTGTTAATTAATTATCGTACACGACGTCATCATTGTAAGTATGCAACCAATATCACACTGAATATATCTGAATGCGCAAATCGCGTATTGCAATACCAGTACTGTGATGTTGGTTGCATACTTTGCAATGATGACGTCGTGTACGATAATTAATTAACACACTGTACATTATATGAAGTTAAAAATAGTTGTCTTAATATGTTATTTTAATTTTTTCAATTGTTGGATTGTTAATTGTTGGACTGTGTTTCAAGAGCAGGCGGTGTTTCGCGATTCATTGTTTAAGACTAGAAAAAGTCTTCAAAACACGCTCAAGCTGATTAAATTTCCCAAATCTTCATCAAAATCACCTATTGACCACGATGAGGTGAGTTACTCAAATTACATGAGTTGTCTGCAAGAGTATTTCATTCAAAATTTGCCCAAAAAAATCAAACATCATCCAGTGGCTGACCAAATGAAGTTCACAAAATCAGAATTGTATAAATTGACATGGCGTTCTTTCTTATTGTTTCCCTCCAAGTTATCTTCGGTCTTCCACTCCTCCTTCTTCCTTTGGGTGTCCATTAATATAGCTGTTTTGGTTGTCTTTGTATATGTCCGTACTATCTTAGCTGGGTTTTTCTTATGTCATCTATTATGTCCATCTTATGTGTGTTACTGCCATAATTTCCTTGGTGATCCTATTCATTTTACTTACCACTCTACGCCAATAAATCATTTCTTTTCAGGATTTTCTCCGTTTAGTAGCTACTGTATTATGCTTTTTAATACCGTATTATAGATTTGATGCTTAGTCTTGTTTGATACGTCATTCGTCATAGCTAATTCCTCTTCTGCCTTGTATGTGTATATCCTTTATAATGCACTCTTAGTGTTCCGTTGCTGGTTATTCGTGCTCTCAAATATTTGTACATGTTGTCTTGTCCTCCCACACACATACAGGCCGTTTTTTGTATGCCCCATTCGATGAGCTTCCTGGTCTTGTATTCCATATCTTGCTACTCAATTATTATTTAAACGCATTTTCTGTTCCACTGTTTTAGTGCTTGCTCTGGATATAAAGAGTTCTCCAATAAGAGCGGGCCGATATTGACAGTCTGTGGCGACCATGTTGTTTTGGCGATGTATCACTCAAATCAGTTATTTATTATTCAGTTATTTATTATTCAGTCATTGATGCTAAATCACTATGGCATATTACACGCTTGAGCAGAACGTTCAAATGCTTCAAAAATTTATTATCAAAATGAGTGTTTATTAGCGCATTTTGCGGCAGATGCGGTGGCCCTCAAAGTCGACTCTCCAACGTTTGATGGCCAAATTCTAATCAGAAACGATCAGCTGATACCAGTACGCCAAAGGAATATATATAAACTTCAGCTTGGCGAATTTTGTGTCGAAACTTGGGTTTGCACCTTTCCAAGACCCAACTAATTCAGGAACTCCAAGTTGATGACCATAGATAACACCATTTGTTCGCTGAGTGGCCTTGAGCATTTGGAAGAGAACCAAAATTTTGAACGAAATATAATTTTTGCATGAATCAAAATCAAATTCAACCAGATTTATACGGCAGAGTGAATGAATAGAATATTTGTTATTCATAACTTGCTTTGTGGATTGATGCTGTCGTATACTGTTTTAGCCCTATCGGGACTATGGGGATTTCTCGATTATACGCTGTTTTTTTCATTAATTGAGAGACACAAAATAAATACATCTTGTTCTATTTTCTTTTTCAATTAACCAATATAAGCCCTAACTTCTAACTCTCTTCAAACTGAGAATAAAATCTTACAGAAAATATCTGTTATAAATTAAGTAATTTATTTGCAAAATTATGGTGAATAACCAAATTTTCACATAAAAATAGGAATTTTGCAATGTTACAAGTTTTATTACGAAAAATGCATTTATAGGTGTCTTTAAAAAACATGTACAACGATCCTGAGGCGAAAATAACTTAAGTTCCATATCTATTAATATAAGTCATTCAACCCACAAACGTTTTATGTAGAAAGGATTAAGTTTTGTTCAGAAATTATAAAATATGTTGAAATAAACATATAGATACTTTAGAATTTTGTAAAACACTATTTTATGGTGTTAACTTCAAAGGAGTTTATACACTTATTTCCAAAGCTCTTTTTTTTTTGCTGAATTTATCTTTAAAAGTTCTGCTAATGTTAAACTATCATATTTTAACAACTTACTTATTTTGTACTTATGTGGTTATACCTTTAAACCTATATCAACCCATATATATATTTTTTTACTGTATCTTCTTACTATAAACATTAACTTAGCAATGTGTAACAAAGAGATCTCATAGGATTTTAAATTTACAACTAATGTAAATTGTATTTTGACATTATAGAGAAACATTTTATTAAATTTTATGATTTAACATGAAACATCAATTCTTCTTGAACCGAGGTTACTGTAAAGAAATTGAAACATCGAACCTAAATAAACAACATTACTATATTAAATATTGCAAATAATAAACGTTAACAAATGCGAATACCAAAATCGAGATGTAATAAAAAAATCAATACCAATAAACCGTAGTTTCTTCCAAAGAAATAGAAATTAATCCAAATTAACTAATATTATAGATTCCAATTCAGAAAAAGAGTCATCCAAACCCAAAACTTTCATGTAATCAGTTAAAGTTAAATAATAGTTAATCTCTCACTTTTAAAGTAGCAAAGAACATAATCCTCCACAATTTGCAAATACCTACAAACTTCCACTTCTAAGTTTTTTGAGCAAACTTCTACATCCCATCAGGATCTCTGAAATTAAAATCAATTTCTACAGAATTAGCTCTGAGTAAATCATTGATTAAGCAAGATTACAGCCTAGCTACGTACTGTAGGTACTGTATAGGTGTAGGTGTAGGAAGTACATATTTGCTATTGATATGGGTGCTAAAATCCTTTTTGAGAGAGGGGTGAAGACCAGGTTAGCCGCTGCAGGCCGTTAAAACGGTGTCGGTTCTGGCTAATGACTGTAAAAGAACTCTAAACAAACTAAGTTGTGATAACAGAGTTACTCTGATCTGGGTCCCAGGTCACTCTGGGGTTGCTGGTAATGAAGCGGCAAACGAGAGGACAGCGCTAAAGCCTTTGTGGGGCCAGAGCCAGCAGTTGGTATATTTATGATGGTCAAACCTAAGATTGGACTATGGACTGAAGAGAGTCACTGTCAAACCCGAGAATATTTGAGGACTTGCTCGTAGCAGCATTAAAATTCTAAAGGGGTTACTGGGCACTGCCGATTAAAGGTACACCTCAACTTGTTGGGTCTAGCCGACGATGTTAAATGCTGACTATGTACGGAGGACAAGGAGACGGTTGAGCAGGTTTTATGCCACTGCCCTGCTGTTAAACGTATCAGATTCTATATATATAGGATACATGGTCTGCTCAAAGTACATAAAGATGATAAACCTTTGAGACCTATAATAAATAATATCAATGGACCTACCAATTAATTAGCAAAGTTCTTGAATAAATCATTACATTTCTTAAATGAATATGACGTCAAAAGCGCTGCGGAATTAAAGGAGAAAATAAAGTTATTAAATATAGAAGATTTGAATGATATTGATGTAGTGAGTTTTGACGTACAATCGTTGTTTACTAATATACCATTACATAAAATGATTGAATTATTGGAACAAGATTGGCAACATATTGAAGAGCACACCCTAATTAAAAATAAAAAAGTATTTATTGAGGGCATAAAATTATGCACCATTAATAATTATTGCATATATAATGAAATATATTATAGACAAATCTTTGGATTACCCAATAGGGTCGAGTTGGATATGTCAATAATCATCGATAAGAACAATAACATACTAAAGACGAAATGGTATAAAAAATATATAAGTAGTGATAGATTATTAAATTACCACAGTAATCACCTAAAATCAAAAATTATAAACACGATGAACAATTATATATATGTATAGAGCAATAAAATTGACAGAAAAACCATTTTTGAAAGAAATAAAACAAAAAATATATGATATTCTGTTAAATAATTTTTATCCCAAACACTTAATTAATAACTCATGGTTTACAATACTAAATAACATAGATGAATTGAAAGTCAAAACAAATAATATAACCCCACAAGATGATCAACAAAGGGCAAAGTATACAAATACAGAAAATGCAAAAGGAGATATGAATAAAAAGAATAAACCAACTATTAGACAATCCCTAATTACACAATTCATACCTAGACAAACTAATACAGGACAAAATGTTCCAGAAAGCGATCTTAGTACTCAGGGAAATATTAACAATAAAAGCACTCATAATAATAAAGAATTTTGTAAAATTAAATTTATACCAACATTAACAAATAAGGTAACGAATGTTTTTAAGAGATATGAAATATCCGAAATAAAATTTGCTAAATATAACAACAAAATTGGCACATTAATATCAATTATGAAGGATAAAATCAAGACATTAGATAGAGTAGATACTGTATATCAATTAAACTGCACTGACTGCAATAAAATTTACATAGGGGAATCTAAACATCTCAAAAAACGTATACAACAACATAAATACGATACTAAACAAATAAAAACGCAAAACAAAACGGTTTTATGCCAACATTCGGTAACTTTGACTCACAAATTTGATTTTGAAAATCCCAAAATATTAACAACAAATAAAAACACACTAATAAGAAAAAACTTAGAATCAATTTTCATAACAAAAAAAAAACATTAATAACGCAGTTAACTTTAAAACTGACGTAGGACGAATAGGGGTGCATTATGCAGATATTTTAAATAAATTAGTTATTTAATAGAGTGAGGGAGATGAAATTTGACCTTGTTGAGAAATTTTCAAAAAGACGTGATGTGTAAGCGTGATGAGATGGGTAGAAATTAAAAGACGATCAATGATAAAAGTGAAAAAAGTTTTTGTTAAGAATCATATTCTACATATTGTGGTTTAGGTGTAATAAATGTTTTTATTGTAAAATAATTGTAGTTACGTAAATCATTGAATTGTTGTTTCTTTAGATGAGAAAAATTATTAAACGTGATGATGGGAATAGTCCCGAAACGTCGTTTGTAATGATTTAGAAATAAATAGTTAATTAATAATAAATAAATGGTGTAATGATTTTATAATAAAATAGTATCAGATTCTCGATTTTTGAGACGCAGTTTATTTCCCTAAACGATCTGAATGACTTTTCACCTAGCAAGACATTAAGATTCGTTAAGAGCACACGAAATTTGAACTATTTTTTTGATAGATATTTACAAAATAAATTCGTTTTCTTTATTTCCTATAATAACTTTCTATATGAATTATTTTATTATAATCAAATATTCTTCAGTTCGAGGATCATCTTTAATCATCATGCTTTAATACATTTTCAAACCGAAATAAAAGTCGGAGCAACAACGAATTGTATTCTCATTTTATATCTCAATTTCATAAAACTCTACAAACTCAAATTGTATTATCAAACAAATTATTTTTCCTTTAGTTTTTTGAGACTTTCATAAGATTCCTGTACTGAATGGGAAACGGATTGAAACAATATAAGAACATATTTTAATGAATTTATAAACAATTTCCATCGAATTGAATCATCAGTGAGCTTCAAAAAATTCCTTAAATCCTCAATAACAAAAAAAAAACAGTCTTCGTCATTAAAGAACTTTGTTAATTTATTTTTTCTTGTCCTATACTAAAAAAAAGAAAACTTTAGATAAGAGATTTTTCTTTAAATTTTTTAGCTTTTTTGCCAGATTTCAATCACTAACATCTATAATTAACATCACATATTTTCCACCTATTGGCAAACAAGTTCTAACTACTTTATATTTACTCTCTTCGAATTGCGACGAGATGTTCTTAGCGGCGATGTGATGAAAAAACATCACATTTTAACGAGAAATTAGGAAATTTATCAATTCCAAAATTGGTCCCTTTCTTATTATTATCAATATTAAATTTTCTATATAAATTTTGAATTAAATCAACTTATTTTCGCTTCAAGAATCTGTAATAAAACGTTATACAGGTTTTTTAAAGACACCTGTATTCCGTAGTATTCGGTGTTTTAACTTGTGATATGTACATTATTATCGTACTTTTATTTAATTTTTCTAATTTTCTTTATAAACAGTAAGAATTTGTGTTATTAAAAGAATTTTACTAACCGTTGATTGGGCGTTGATTTAAATGTTGCTCGGTAGAGGTTCTCCAAAGGACACCTTAAAAAAATAGCAAGAAAACGCTAAAGTTAAAAAAAGACATAAAACATCAACAAGGCACCTAACTAACTTATCAACTAAAAGAAAGAAAAGTAAGAAACAACAATTTAAACATAAAACATAAATTAAAAATGGTTTTGAAAACTTACAGCAGCTGGTAGACGCACCTGCAGCTTTCGATGTGCAAGTCTCAATTATTATAATTATTTTTTTGCAAATAATTACTATTTATTTATATTAGGACAAATCTAATTACCGATTGTAATTATCTTTTTTTGCTTGTATTCAAAGTGAACATCAAAAATACTGAGACATTAATTAATTAGCATGCATGACATTGATCAAACATTTTGGACAAGGTTATAGTTTCTTCTGAGTTGGAAATGAAGCTGTCAGTCTTCTTGTTTTTATAAACAGTTCCCTTGATTTGTGGCGGTTGTCGGTTTACCTGCGTTGTATTTGTCTTCGCTGTCTGTCTTCTTTGTTGTTTTTCGAAGATTTATTTGATGCGCGAATTAAAAACTTTGACTTTGATTCAAAAAAAAATAATAATAATAATAACGTGACTTAACTGTTTAAATTACTTTTAAATGTAAAACATTATCAATTAATTAATTAGATTAATTAGGAATGAAAAATAATAAAAGCGATAATAAATAATAAAATAATAATAATTAAATACGATCGAATCCCTAAGTTATTGTCACAGCCTTTTAATGGAAACTGAATTATTAAACGAAAAATACTGATATATCCTAATAGAAGGAGTGACGGAAGTAATAACTACGTAATCCTAAACGTAGCGCAATTAGTACGTCTTGTTCCTCCACCTCCCATCATCGTTTGTTCTTCAACATTACTCGTTTCTAATTTAACATGTATTTCGGGTACCGAATAAGATGAAGAGGATTGGGCGGGGTTTACAAATGGGTTAATAAATTTTACTACAATGTTTTGTGGGGGTGGTGGTAGAGGTGATGGTGTGTAAGGTGGGGGTGGTTCCATTGGTAGAGGTCTTAATTCTGTCGATATTAGAGGAGATTCCCTCGATTGTTGTTGAAATTGAATCGGCATTTGCTTTCTTTCAGCGGGTGTTTTAAAAACCGGGCGTAATCTCCTTAAACATTTCACTAATAATCGGCGATAAATCAAAGCTGAAGCGCAATTTAAACCTTTAACAGCCGTATAAGACCCATCCTCCGATAAATTGTTGTTCTTTTTAGGTTGATTCACTTCATTTGATTTATTATAACAATTTTGAAAAAATTCTTGGGTGATTACCGATAAAACATAATTACAAACAGTCTCGAAATCGGCAACTTTCATATCTTCGGCCGCTTCAAAATCGAAAGGGCAAGCAACGTTATCTTTATTTCCCGTTAAAACCGCCATTATGTATTGGGCGTTTTTTTCGCTGCGCAACATCGAATTTACTTCACCTCTTAATACTTTTTCTTCGGTTAAACTTACTTTGTAAGAACCATCATCCATGATTTGTATCGGATCCTCCATCGTTTTTGTGTTTAACGACGTCGACGGTTGTTGCCCCCCGAAAATTTGGTTATAACTTGGAAGTTCTTGTTGATTTATTTGGTAATTAGTTATATCGGGGTAAAAAAAATTGTTTTGTAACGAATTCAAATTTAATCCTTGTTGGGTTCGTAACGAATCATTAAACAATTTCGATGTTAAATAATTTTGCTGAGGTTTATCGTCTTGTTGATTCGTTTGAATGTTGGTATCGGCGATTTGGTTACTCATCGATGATACTCTACATCGTTTCTTAGGCGGTAACATGTATTTATCTTTAACTAAAGTCCAATAAATTATGTCGTCGTCTTCGTAATCCCATTTGCGTTTTAAATTATCGAATTCGTTTGTTTCTTCGAACGAATTATTTTCGGGGGTTTGTGTTCGCTCGATTAAATCTTTTGAGGAAGATTCCTTTTTATCGGCCGTTTCGTGATCTTGAGTTGTTTTTTCAACGGTGTTTTTATTTAAGTAAAAATTTGGGTTAAAAATTAATGGGGAGATGTTAGTTTCATCGTTGGTGACGTTGTTTAAATTAAAAACACTCGCCCTATCGATTGAATTACAACTTTCATCGCTACATATAACTAAATCCCGGCTGCTATCATCGTCGTAAGCAATCTCATTTTGATTAGAGTTAAATTTATCGTCATTTGTATTCTCTAAATTTTTCTTTTCGTTAATTATTTCTTCGTTTTCTTTATTAATTAACGGCAATTCGTTAGTTATTTCTAAAGGTTCTAAAACTCCTTTTCTTCCGATATCAATCACTTCATTTAAAGTGTACTCCCTTAAATCCCAATGTTGGCGAGTTCCATACGGGCATATTTTATTGTTTTGTATATTAGCACATTGGGCGCGATACAAAGGATCTTCATTCGCTTTTCGTCTTTTTTTGTTTTGACTCGATTTTCGTTTTGATCGTTGAGTTCCATCTTCGAGGGGCGTCGATTTATTTCGATTTTTGTTATAAACCTGGTAAAGACATTGTTGCTTTTTCACCGAAATGCACGTCGCGACCGAAATCACGCTTTCATCGGCCGTTTCAGTATCGGTGTCGTAAATTTCTTTCGAAATTATTTGGGGTAATAACGTTTCTTTTTGTTGCTCGATTGATTTGCGCCGTTTAACTTCCTGTTTAAATTCGGCGATTGTGTTTCCGGTGTAATTTATTTCCCCGAAACATTTTTCGTTGTTTTCGCTAAAAACGTATGGGGAAATTAAATCGAGGGCTTTTTCGGTGGATTTTCTACGATTTTTATGTGATTTTAATGTGTTTCTTGATAAAGTAGCTAAAGATTCTAATTTTCTTACGTGTTTATGACTACTTTTTTCCGATTTTAATAACTTATTTATGTGCTTGCTTTTGTGTTTTTGGTGTTTTAATTTTTCTTTTAAAATTGGTTGTGTGTTATTCTCAATTAATTTATTTGATTCTTGTAATTTACTATAATCGATATAATTCGTCTCGTTTTCTGTTATATTAAGTTCGGTATTGACGTTAAGTTCGGCATTAACATTAAGTTGTTTTCGTTTGCTTGCAAATATTATTTCAGAATTTTCATCGTCGGAATCGCCAAAAAGTGTTTTCATGCAACTTTTTGATTTATCTTTTATTTTTTTCGATTTTTTATCTTTCTTAACATCTTCTTTTACATTTTCCTCGCACAAATTCGTTTCTTTCTCAACCTCATCATTAATTTCTTCGTTATTTCCCGATAAACAATCGATTAAACTTTCTTGTAGTGGCTCAGCACTAATTTGATCTTTATTTGAGGAAATCTCAACTAAAACTTTAACAACAGCTTCCTCATTAAATTTCCCATTTTGTGTGTTAATCGCATCTTTAATTGCTTGCACATCAAACTCCGTATTATTAAACTTACTCATATCCAAGATTAATTTATCACCGACCACATCCGCTATTTTCGACGATGAATCTTCCTCGTTTATTGGACTCATTTCAGTTTGAATCGCGTCGGATTTAGTTTCGATATGATTTTCGGATGTTTCTAAATTAGAGTCGGTTTGAATCGCAATCGCTTGTGGTAAAGAATTAATTTCCTCAGAAGATTCTTTTAATTCAACATTTGACTCAGAAGGATCTTCTTTTGAAATAATTGTAGTTAAAAGCTTAGTCAACGCCTTTAATTTTTCATTCCTATCGGTTTGGTTGGATCCTAAAGAAATAGCAATTTCATGAATCGTTTCAAAAATAACCTTCGTCGATTCGCACTCTTCATTTTCCGGTTCAATTTGAATTTCATCCTCTTGAGTCTTTAACTCTGCACATTCTTCTTCCTCAATCGCACCTAATTGAGTTTCACACTCATCAATATTAACTCCATCAATTTCATTAACAACCTCACTTTCAATTTCTTTCAAATTTTTATTACAACTAAGTGATGATGATTCATTACAAAATTCCTCAATCATCTTAATTATTTCAATCGAAGGTTTTCTAATCTCCTCATCATTTTCGTCATTTAAATCCTCCTCTAATCGTTCAACATCTAACACATTACAATTAGAAGTATCAGGAACATCAACAACAGGATCAAGGAAATAATCGGGATTATCAGGATCTTCAACATCATCAAAAGGAAAATCATCGTCAACCCTACCTGATTGTTGTTCGTTGTTATCCTCTTTCTTCTTAAAACTGTACTTTTTCAACAAACACGTAGTTCGCGTATTGTGTTCTAACGGCACCCAAACGTTATATTTTCGCAATTCGGCGGATGTTAAAAGTTCGAGTTGGACCGCGGCATCCCAAAACACTTTTTCGTCAGCTGTCCGGTTCACGTAACACTTCACCCCTTGTTTTAAAACGTACGATTTGCTAGGTTCGGAAAATTGTGGAAACCCGCCGGAAATATCGACCGCTTTATTAATATCTTTAAGCACCTTTTTAAATTCGCCCGTATACCGTTTTTGCCACTTTTCAAAAACCGGCGATGGAGTCGGACTTTCGGGTCGCTTCTCCAAAATTTCAACTAATCGATCGAAAACGAGTTCTTGTGAAATTTCGTCTGAGAAGACCACTTTTTTGGGTGGAATTGTTGCGAGATCTTTATCCGGTTTTTTTAGACTACTTTTTATTATGGGTGGAGGTAATTTTGGGGGGACATCCATTAAAGGGATAAAACCATTGTTAACTAACGCGAATAAATCGCCTGATGGAAGATCATTTTCGCCATAATACTGGTCGTTTAAACGATTACTCTCAACAGGACCTGAAAGGAACGTTTCAAATTCATTTTCAGGGAAGTCCATATTCGATTGATTAATTTTTGGGTCAAATTGATTAAACTCTTCGCATGTTGATTTGTATAAAACTCTTGGTGGACTTTTATTTTCGTTCTTCTCTTGGTGTTTATTATTATCAACCTCGTTATTTAAATCTGAATCACCAGAAATAACCATTGGTTCCACTCTTGTACTTGTTTCTTCAATCTCGTCCATACTTACACTTAATTCACTTATTGCATCAGAAGTTATTGATGATGACTCCATAGATAATCCACTTACAGAGATTTTTTCTATTTCTGATGGACTCATTATTTTTGCAACTTCCATTTCTGTTTGGATAAATTTCTCAAAATCAGATTCGTTGATTTTAATTATATTTTCAGATTCTGCGTGGATTACATCATCAATTTTATCATCCTCTACAACAGATTGAACTGATTGAATTGATTGAATTGAATGAATCGAACTTTTATCCATATCTGTACCACATTCAGATTCTTCACTTTCACTCTCTTTATTTTGATCTTGACTCAATTCAATCGAAACATTATCTTCATCAATTTGATTTGATTTCTCCAATTCTTCATCCTCCTCATTTACAATTAATTCAGGAACAATTTCTCGATTTTCCTCAACATTTTCAACCTCTCTTTCCCCAATCTCTTCATCTTCACAATCAAGATTCTCTTCAATATCTTTATTTACAACTTCTTGCTCTTGATTTTCTTCAATTTCATTTGTAGTAATTTGATTCGTTTCATTTACAATTTTATCATTTTCATTCAAACTCCCACACACTTCTTCACTTTCCCCTTGTAAATCATTTCCTTCATCCTCCACCACCCCCGAAATTTCTTTCTCAATTGTATTCTCAATCGTATTTTCAATTTCATCTTCACCAACTCGAATTTCTCTTTCGATACTTACCCTGTCAATTTCATCCGAATTAAATGTTTCTTTATCGTTATTGTAGCTTTCGAAAATTCCTCGTTCGCAATCTTCGTCTTCTCGTATTGATGCGTCATCAAATAAGCCGCATCGTTGTTCCCTGGGGGGTGTTATTAATCCGTGGTGGAACTCTAACGAACTAAAATCGCCCCTTAAAGCTGCGTATTCGATTTGTTTGAATAATGATTGGGGATCTGAATCGGATTTGTCGTTTCCGAAGATGCTTTCGCTGTTGGGGACCGAAACGGCGACGACTTCATCTTCGTCGCTATCTAAGACTATTACTTCGTTTGTGGTGAATGTTGGGCGTTTTAGATCTTCGTGACGTTTTCTTCTCTTGTGGCGTTCCTTTCGTTTTGGTGGTTGCTAAAAATTAATTTTTAATTTATTACTTTATTGTTTTGGGACTAATTACTTTTTTAACGTAAGTGATTTCGCAATCACTATCGATATCGATTTCGCAGATGATATTTTCGTGCTCGCTTTCGCTCTCACTTTCTTCCGAACTTGAAACGAAGTTTTCCGAAAAATCGAATGTATTGGGGTAGGATAACGATTTACACGAATCGTTTTCTGTACTAATACCCTATAAAAAATTCAAAATTTTTATTTTTTAAAGGCTAATTTAGTTGTTATCTTACAACAGATTGCATCATATCAGTGATGTTTCTATCAGAAGGAACATGACAGCTTTGTGTGCTTCTCAAATACTTAAAGTATGCTCTTGTGGTTCTCTTTCTTGGAAAAACAATGTGTTCGACAGTTTTAACTGTAGAACTAGACGGAGTTTCAAGAATTTTTTTTAATATCAAATCGTCTTTAACTTCTTCTTGCGTCTTTCCAAACGATTGCAACAAATACTTTTGTTGCTCAGATCTTAAATGTTTCGGGGTTAATTCTTGCATATCTTGGTAGTTTAAGTAGTAGGAATAAAATCCTGGATAACTTGACGTTTCTACTGGCATCGTTAATAAACAGTGACTAAAAATTTAAAAAATTATTAAATAACGAATTAGATTTAATTCAATTTAACTCACTGATAAAGTCGTTTCATTACAGCCGAATGAAACTTATTCGTTCGACTATATTCTATCCTTAAAAGTACATCAGACACTCTCCCGCTTGTAAAACGCAAGCTGACAAACATTAAGCTGAGCAAACGATTTGTTACTGATACGACAAAATCGCATTTATTAATTAGGGCGTTTCTGTGTGCGTCTAGTTCCAAGGTACAATATAACCCGATTATTTTTGTGATGTAAAAAACGTATTCGAATTCGTATTTTACGTTTTCCGGGTGCGCTGAAAAGTAATCTGCCATTGCCATAACATGTCTTTGGATCGATTTTATGAAAATGACGCGATCCCAACATTTTCCAGAATCTTTTTTAAGAAATCTAAAAGAAGGATTTATATTAAAAAAATTGTTTTGGGTATAGTTTTTGTTGATAATAACAACAAATTAATTTGCATTATAATTGATTGACAATTATAGTTGAGACATTAAAGCAATTGGTGAAGTTCTAAGAAACGCTAGACGAATGGAAAAATTAAAAAAAAATCTGCTGATCTCCAAAATAATGAGAAACACGTTTGAATGCACGCAGCCATCAAAAATTAACTTATTGAAAGGTATATCTAATACGAAGGTTTAACATACAAGACTGTAAGAGAATCTTAGAGGGACGAGGTGCGATTGCGATATATTGCAACGCCTCGGCTTATATTAAAGCAAAAATATGTGGCGCCATCTACTGAAGCCGAGGTTGCTTGTGACTGAGGCTGAATTGCTACCATTACAATACAATGTTGGGTGCAGCGCCACGGCCGCAAGCAACCTCGACTTAAATTAAAACCAAAATGTATGATAAGGTTGTTTGCGGCCAATTGCTACCATTTCAATACAATTCAGTCAATAGCACATAGAAGATAGTGCAAGAAGTTAACTTCATAACAATATGAAATAATAAAGACCTCAAGTAATTTTCTTCCTACACTTTATGTTTAGGAAAGTGATACTAAAACGCCTCCCACTTCAGTCTCAATATTCAAAGACGTAAATCGAAAAGTGTGAAGCTGTCGGATATGTCGCACCTTATGTCACGAAATTTTTAGTATTCCTTTGTCTTGTTCAGTCTTATTGCACTTGCTGTCTTGCTTGTTCATTGCACATATCGAGTTATTCTTCGTTCTATTTGTGTATTTAATTTTGTTTGATAATTTGCGGTTGCGATAGGCTGTCTGTTTAAAAGAGAATGTAATTCCGTTTCCATTGTATGTAGAAAAAAGGATCATGTGTTTCAACACATAAAAACGAACAAGCAGGCGAAAAATAGCGATCTATTAAAAAGAGTGTTTGCGGAGGAGTTATGTGAGGCTTTTTTAGCGTTAAACATTCCATTAGAAAAATTGAAAAATCCTATGTTGATGAAGAACCTTACGGAAATATAATATATCAAAACTATACAGGGTGAGTCAGAAAGAATGGGAAATCCGAATACCGGAGATACTAGACACCAAAATATGATGATTTAACCTAACATCTCTTATACAAATGTCAGTGGTTTCCGAAGCAGAGGGAAAAGAAAAGTTGAAAGTTAAATTCTTATTTCGAAATTTCTTGATAATTTTGAAGGTTTTTGTACTATTAACATAAAATTTGACAGTTTCATGTTTTCGAGCATGAGATATACGAATTTGAAACTTGTTTTGTTATTGCTCGTAGAGAGCGCTAGATACACACATCTCGTTTGATAAATCAAATCATAAGTTCTTTAGCTGTCGAGTTACGACCAATAAGAGCTACAAATCACAAAGAGCATTCAATTTTATATAAAAAAGGTACTCTTATCTAAATTATCTAAGTCTATCGATTTTCGAATTATTTACTTTTAAATGTATTTTTGCTTCTAAAATTTTTATTTTTTAACATAAGCAAAGTTGGCTTATTTTTCCGCTCATGTTTCGACAATTGATTTAATTTCCGTGTGCAATAATCATTTTTACCAACAATAAAGTTATTACCAATTTGAAAATGCTAACAACATAATGAGTTTTCTAATAGTGAAAGGAAGATATGATTTGTTGTTTTGCTCAAACCAATTTTAATAATTTAGTAGCACTTTGGGCTGCTGCTCGGCCAAAAAAATTAGCGTAAACGAAGAAGAAGAGTTGCAGAAAATCCATTGTGCCCACTTTTTACAAAACAAATTACGCGAAAATGAATATTTTCTTGACAAGATTCTGTTCACTGATGAAGTTTACAAGACGGGCCATTCATATTTCTCATGCTCGAAAATATATAACTACCAAATTTTATGTTTCGAAATAAGAATTTAACTTTCAACACCCTGTGCCTTGAAAGCCAACGATATTTGTATAAGAGATGTTAGGTTAAATCGTCATATTTTGGTGTCTAGTGTCTTCGGTATTCGGATTTCCCATTCTTTATGACTCACCCTGTATACTAAAACGATGGAACCTTAATAAATACATTATCAAGTAACTACATTTGGATAAGTGCTGATGAAACTACTAATATTCACAGTAGATGCGTCGTTAATGTAGTAGTAGGCGTTATGCATCCTACTCAGAAGATCCAACCTTACTTAATAGCGACTAAAATCTACCAAAAAGTTAACGCAGACACAATAATAAAAGTTGTTTGCTATAGTATAAGGTAAAGTCCTTTTATTTATTTCTGATGCAGCAGCATATACATGATGTGTCAAATGTCTGAAATATAGCCAATAATTTCGCCATTTGCAGTTTTAAAGAAAAATGTTTCAAATAAAAGTTTCTTTATTAATTGTGGCGCATTTTTTGGCGATATTTGTTTGTTTACATTGTTTTTTGTTTCGTTGCTATGGCAACCAACATTGTTATTTTCCTCTTCTATACCATGAACATATCAAATCATATGGTTGTATAAGAAAAAAATCGAGAAATAAGAAATTTTTTTAATATTTTGGATACAGTGTACACAAACTTCACTTTGAGTGCATTTTCTATCACCGGCATTAATATTTGGATTCTTTGTCGTTCGCTTAATTGCGCCATATTTGTTTAAACTGTCAATTTTTTGACATTTAAAGCTGTCAACGGCGCTACTTCGGCGCCTACTTTGATTGTAATTTGCTGATTTAATGTTTTCAGAGAACGCATTTTTCTCGATTTTTTTCTTATACAACCATAATTAATATGTTCATCGCGTAGAGGGATTTATCATCTATCAAAATATGCAAAACAGACATATGCATCCCATTTAAAATAACAATGTTGGTTGCCATAGCAACGAAACAAAAAACAATGTAAACAATCAAATATCGCCAAAAAATGCACCACAATTAATAAAGAAACTTTTATTTGAAACATTTTTCTTTAAAACCGCAAATGGCGAAGTTATTGGCTATATTCCAGAAATTTGACACACCCTGTACATTGAAAGCAATTAAAGACAATTTATCAAAATTTGCTGCATGTAACTTGTATTGTTCATGGTCTCCATCAATTGTGTGAGTTTGAATTGAAGTTTGTGTATTTTACGGAAACCATTTTGAAAGCATTAAAAACTGCATTTTACATATAAAGAATGATGCAGCAAGCATTATACAATGCTTAAGAAAGAAATTATTCAAAAGTCAAATTTGCATGAACAGTTTAAATATACATGGTCGCTGATATGTATGAAAACAGTCGGTTATCTCCTAATGTAAGATAGCTAGCGAAAAATGTTAAGATACAAAAGTTTTAGTTTTTTTTAAATCTATTACAATAAAAATTAAGTATACTAGATCAGTCAAAAAGTTATGACGAAACAAAGCTATTATATTATTCCATATTTCGGTTCATCTCGAAATTCTAAACAAAATTTATGTAGCACATCATAAACCTAAACTTAACCGTTTTCCAGATATTGAACTTTGAAAATCACTCTTATAAATTAAACTAAGATTAGAACTAAAACTAGAAACTTTCGGGTTTTGCCGTGCGTCTTTTAATAAAAGGTTTGACGTTTCGGATGCCATGTTGCAACCTTCTTCAGAAACTGGTTCGAACTGGTTCTCATCTCCATAGCAACGCAGTGACATAACACATGTCAAAATTACAAAAATAGTTTAGTTACGTCACTATTTAGGAAAATTCGTACATTTTTAAAAGCTAATATCTGAATCTACATGAATTTTGTTTAGAATTTTGAAATGAACTGAAATATGGAATAATATACAGGATGTTGCATTAAAGAAAACACAAATTTGTTTCGTCATAACTTTTTGACTGATCCTGTATACTTAATATGTTTTTATTGTAATAGATTTAAAAAAACACTAAAACTTTTGTATCTTAACATTTTATAACCGACTGTTTTCATACATATCAGCGACCTGTATAACGAGAATTTTTCAAAATTAACCATGAAAATAAAATACTTTCAAACACAAGGTCTTCATATGAAAGAGTCAATTGATAGTTTGTTTTCTTTGTTGGAAGAATTTAAACAAATTCCTGAAGAATTTGGAATTTTATTTAACAATAAAATTCGAGATGTGTATAACAAAAATCCAGATTTGAACATCATTCAGCAACTATCAAATAAAAATATAAAGGATGAACTTAAAGATAAATATGAATCTTTACTGTCATATTTTAACTATACTTTGCTGACTAGACTTTTTCAGACACACATTTAGAAATAATTGTGTTACTTAAACTGTCTGGGCTCTAGTTATGAGACAACCATGTCAATGGTTATGATTTTTTCCCATTATTTATAACTTAAACCAACTCAACAAGTAAGGGTTTTGTTTAATACAGTTATTATTACCAAATGAAGAGCTTATAAGTATAATAATATAGGCACAAAGACCAGCACAAAGCTATGTTGTGCTGGTATTAATAACAAACACTTCTTTTTCGACTTTTTCTTGGTTTTATCACTACAAAACAATTCAACAACCTGTTCCCTCAAATAAGTGTTCTTCAATGACCAAGTGTCAATAGTTTTCTAAACCCAGATCAACTAGTTATACTGAGACATGAAGGCGCATATTTCAGTATCCATCTCATAAAAGTTTTCTTAGGTAATGTCCAATAAATTTGAAATGAATCTAATTTCAATCTTGAATTAAACATAACCTTATCATTCAGCTTCTCTATTCTAATCCTACACTTAAGATTGATCACTGCTAAGTTTTGTCAAGACTTCATCTTAATCTTTTTACATCAAAAAAACAATTAACAAATGTAAACACCACTCTTAAGGTAAATACATAATTTCATCTTGAGAACATTCACAATCTCTTGCATTGTGTATTAAAATCATGTACTTTCTTTTCTTATTAAATATTATGAAAATTGTAATCACTCAGAAAGATGCATCTATATATCAACCCAATCATGGTGATCATTTAATGTTATTCTTAATTTATATAAATGCAGATGAAAGATAATGCAATCACAAACATCAATCAAAGTAGAATTCAAAAAAGGCATGTTAAGTTTTCATTAAAATAATTTGGTTCTATTTGATTTATTTAAAATTACCAGGTCAAATAGGTTTGGGGCTCAATCCTAAAATAGAAAACTAAGTTATGAATAACAATATCAGTAAATGTTTCATTTTGTAGGAATGTTCCAACAAATTGCTCTGATAATGAAATTCTTTTGGTTCTGCTTCAAAACCTCGTATCAATTCTAACACCAATAATAAAATGAATCATTGTAATGGAATTTTTCACCTCTCTGCTCTTACAAATTGTTGAGTTTGAGAAATACAGCAAATAATTTATTGTAAAGTCAAGAAAATGAAGATCTTGTCTATTATTGCATATCACATCATTCCTTTTAGTTCTGAAATCAATCTGATTCCTTTAAATCAAACAAATTATTACGAGTTTTTAAGAAAATCAAAAGCTTTTAGATTGCATTTTTGGATTAATTTTCATAAATTACTTACTTTGAATATTTTTTTAATATACTCAAAAACGTTTTAATATCTCTAGAGCTTGTACATTCCATTAATGATGATAGAATATCATTATTCCAAGCTTCTAATTGGGGTAAAGTAGTCTTTTCTGTAGCTAAAACAAAAAAAATTTAAACCAATAATTTATAATTCTATTTCTTTAATATTTTATTTACCAAGATTAGGAACTTGATCAATATCCACTTCGACTTTAACCGGTTTAGGTTGTGGAAATTTTTTGTGTATATCCATGATTAAAATTGTTCTTATAACCTAGTAACGAAACATAAACAAAACGATAGCCCCCTTTTTAAAAGTCTTCTAATCTCTTCTTAGTAACTCTCACAGAGTTTTAAACCACATTGTTTATTTAAATTTCATTTAGTTGAGTAAAAACGAGTTGCGCGAAAGACAATTCGTAAATGTATCGTCCAGAAAATACTGAAAAGCACAAAATAAGAAGTAAATACCCAAACGGGTCACAACAAAAATGGCGCTACGAAAACCAACACCGTTTGTATTAATAAAGCGACGCTAACGCGACACGGAATTTTAACCCTCTGAGTTGTTACACTAACGGAATTGGTTTAGTTCAACTCGAAATACTTTACAATAAACTTTAAGCACTTTATTTAAACCCATCTTTGATGAACACTTGGTAATCGCGAGTGAGAGCGGTTGCCATAATTGTATAACTAAAAACCAATGACCTATCGTTTTACCTCGACGATGGAAAAGGTACCTCTGTCTTTGTCTAACATAAAAAACTCGTATCTGTTTTCTCTTTTTATTTATTACTCGCTACGGAAATATGTTCCATGTCTATTCACCAACTTTAAAAAATTAAACTTTAACATTCCCTAAATAAAATTAAAAATGATAATACATTTTATTTTTTAATTATTTTAAGATTAAATAATTTAAATTCTTAAGAAGTCGCAAACTGAGTTATATTATAGTCTTTAAGATGAATAACAATCGATAAAGCATCATTTGTGCAGGGCGAAATTCCTGGAAAATGTTTACCTGGAAATCAATAAGCACTTCAATTTTTAATGCGCATGCAAAATATGTGGGCGAATTTCTTTGTTGAATTGTAAAATCGTAACATATTAATAAAAGAATTAATAAAATGATTCAAATTAAGTAATCGATTCATGCTCAATGAAAATTATAATAAAAATATTTTTGAATTTAAATTTTTAGTTTAGGCGCCATCTTTCGTGTATTTGGAAAAGTTTACAGATTACTACATTTTTTTTTAAACGCAAAATTAAAAATATTTTAAGTTTACTTTAGATATAATTTGTTGTATAAACGTTAAGTAAATATTAAATTTTATTTTAAAATACTGAAATCGATGATTCGATAAATATAAGTTTTAAAGGAGGGGTCGATGATTTCTCATTTCCGCTTATAGATAAAAATTTTCCTTTTTACAATTTAGATTAACTCAGTGTGTAAGAATTACATTACACGAAGTGGTGTTATATTTTATGTTTTATCATTATTAATTTTATTGTTAAATTTAATGAATTATTAAAATTAATTCGTTAAGATTTGAATCTGGCGCGTTAGTGTAAATTAAAACGAGAAAAATCCCTATTATAAAAACGTCAAAACTTACTAAACCAAACCCCAGTAATCTCAACAAAAATTTGTCACTGTTTTGTAGGTGTGGTATAGGTGTTTTATTTGCGTTCGGTACCGTTTAAATCATTAGTGTGGCCCTGTAGTAGTTAAAATTCAACGCCTAAAATGAACTCGAGACTACCGGCGTGCGTTATCGACGTCGGAACCGGGTGAGTCCCTAAAAAATCGACCCAACCTCATAGAACATAACCTAAATTTTCCTTGTTTTTTTGACGTTAATCCCATTTCAGTTACACCAAATTAGGGTTTGCGGCCAACAAGGAGCCCCAATTTATTATTCCCTCAGCAATTGGCATCAAGGAAACCGCAAAAGTCGGTGACCAATCCAGTAGGCGTCTTTGTAAAGGAGTTGAGGATTTAGATTTTTACATCGGAGATGAAGCTTTTGATGCTACAGGATATTCAGTTAAAGTAATTATTTAAAGAAAAATTCAAGGATCATGATGTGGCTTAAAAATCGACGATTTGAAATGTGAAATGACCCAAAAAAAGGGTGATAATAAAAAGAATGTGTGGAGAAGTGTAGAACATACTGAAAAATCACATTAAAGTTTTGATGTGACGTCATAAGCAATGTTAACCATGCATTTTCCTACTGTACCTATAAATTGTTTATTTTATAGCACACAAAATTAATCTGATAAACTTAAAAGTAAAGTTATTTTCACTAAACTAGGTTAGATTACAGCATATACAGGGTGATTCATATAAGAACCAACATAGAATGGAGACATGTAGAGGACAATAAATTAAGATGATTTAACCCAATTTACCTTTATACTAAGTTGTACCCCTGAGGAGTTAAAAGCCTTCAAGGTTGGGGCTTAAATTTTGAAAACATTCAATGTCTTTGTAATAAAATATGATGTAGGTAAAAGTACTACATTAAGTAATACATTAAGCTAGAAAAACCAAATTTGATATACAGAGTGGTGCAGTTTTTAATCAAGCTGTCAAAGTTAAGCCAAAAATTTACATTTTGTTTTGTATTTTGGCTGTAAGTAAACCATAGAATTTGAAACTTTGTGTGTATTTAGTACTGGTTAAGACCTTATTTTCAAGCATACCTTAAAGTTATCTAGCGTCCTCTAAGGGTGTGAAGATCACCACCCCCTTGATTTTTTTTATAAGAACTTTTTAACGCTATGGAATATTAACATAAAAAAATATGGGTTGTAAAGCTTATTCTTTAGTGGTACTTTTTTGTCTCTTTAGTATTTTCTTGAAAGTTAATAGTTTCTGTGTAAAAAAATAAAATGTCGTGCCATGTACCGGTGTTTGCCGCCATGTTTAGCTAAAATTATTCTAAAAATTGGCTCTGAATACTTGTAGGTTTCATTTACAGTGAATCCTCATAATTGTTGATGATTATTAATAATTTTTGACTATTATTAAGCAAGAGTATCAATTTTTTAATATTGTTTAAAACAACGTAATTTGTTCGGTCATCTTATTTATGGTTTTTCTTAGGCCGCTAGGGAATTTTACGGTATGGTTGAAAATAAGGTAGTACATACATACAAAATTTCAAATTCTACGGTTTAGTTATACCCGAAATGAAAGATAAAATGTTAATTTTTGGCTCAACTTTGACAGCTCATAGATCGAAATCAAAAGAGTTATGTTTATATAAAAAGCTTGTTATTTTGGCAAGTACTACGTCCTAGTAAAGTTTCCCAATTAAAAAGTGAACCACCCTGTATGTTATGAGTATACCAACGGTATTACCAATTAATACCCTTGGTATAACCCAAGGGTATTAATTGGTAGCAAGTTGAGGGTCTCTAAATTTTGATACACTTTTTTAATCTTTTGGCGGATTTAATACATTATTACCTCATTTCATGTGGAATTTAATTCTGAAACTTTTTTTATTCTTATTATTTTCTAAAAAAATTTCGTTTTTGTCATGTTTGATGTACAATTTCATAGCCGACTATTGAATTTTTGATGATTTGAGTAACATTCATGAAATACGTGCCTTTAATGGGGCCGTTACCTTCAATCGAATAGAAAGACCGTCTTTCAAAAAATCGATAAACTATGTAAAAATAGAAGGATTGGTAACATTTTCAGATCCTAAAATTGTTTTTAATTTTTGCAATAATTAATATTAAAATTCAAAATCCCCTCTATAAAAGCTTTGCTGACGTTTATGAAGTTTTCGCGTAAGATCAAGAAGACACAAACCTGCATCGTTCGGATCTCTTTCTAACGCATAAGATTCTCGTGGCATCTCGCTCATACACCTTTTATTGATTTTTATTTCAACCAATCCCGTGCGAAACGACGGTGACGACTTCAAAGTTTTTTCAAATTTACATTATTTCTTTTTTGGAAAAACTAAAGCCCACTTTAAAAAATAAAAAAATATATTAGTCTTCAATTTTGCTCAGCTAACGAATAAAAAAAAATGTGTAACGGCCCTATTATTCGGTTTTTTATGAAAACTACAAAGTTTTTAAAAAAATAATAAGAGTAAAAAACGTTTTAGAATTAAATTCCACATGTAATAAGGTAATAATGTATCAAATCCGCTAAAAGGTTAAAGTAGAATAGGTGAATCCGAATGTAACGTTTAAATCTCCCCTCTTCCTTACTCCCCTCTAAAAGGATATGTCGCATCTAGGTGACAAAGAATCGAGTATCTATCCGTGCAAAAAGTCAAGGCCCCTCTTGACCCTATCGACCTTAGAGATCGATATCTTCGCAACCGCTCGATAAAAAAAATTGCGACAAAGTTTGTTGTAATCACTGAACATTTCTACATAACATACGTTAATTTGAAAATTTTCGGATCCACGGTTTTCTTTTTATCGCGAGTTAAATGAAAAACGTACCCGATTTTTTACGATACCGGCAACTTTGTCTTAGACAGGACGTCGTACATTATTTCTTTATGTAGATAAGATAAAGGCGCGACGTACTGTCTGGTACGCACCATCTGTTCCAATTGGACGGAACCCTCCTCTCCCCGCATAACTTACTTCTGTTTCTCTTTAATTTGTAATTCCATTAAATCACTCTTAAAAAAAATTAGGGAGCCCTAATTTTGAAAAACTGATAACGGAATTCGACAACCGACATTATTTGACATATTTTGGTAAAAACCGCGTTAAAATCCGCCAGGTCGTTTTCGAAATAACCGCATCCTATTAAACCGCGATTTTCCGCGAAATTATATGGAATATCGAAAAAAAAAATATGCCCCACATTAAGAACACATCGGTTTACCACTAGTTCAAATTTTTTTTCGTCAAATAGTTTTGGAGAAAAAAATCGCAAAGTAGACAAAGTTGCTGGCACTCTTAAAAATCGGGTAGTTTTTTCACTTAACTCGCGGTAAAAGAAAAACCACGGACCCGAAAATTTCCAAATTAACATGTGATACGCAGAAAAGTTCACTGATTACAATAAACTTTATCGTAATTTTTTCCATCGAGCGGTTACGAAGATATCGATCTCTAAAGTGAGGAACCTTAACTTTTTGCACGGATAGTAGTAGTGTTTTGGCAGCAGTATATACAGGTGTGTCAAATGTCTGGAATATAGCCATTTGACGCCATTTGTGGTTTTAAAGAAGCATGTTTCAAATAGAAGTATCATTATTAATCGTGACGCATTCTTTGTCGGTATTTACTTGTTTGTATTGTTTTTTGTTTCGTTGCTATGGCAACCAATATTGTTATTTTAAATGGGATGCTTATATTTTTTTTGCATACTTTGACAGAGGATAGGTCCCTCTATACGATGAACATATCAAATCATATGGTTGTATAAGAAAAAAAATCGAGAAAAATGCGTTTTCTGAAAATATTAAATATAAATGTCAAAAAAATGATAGTTTTAACTATTATGAATAATTAATAATGTCTCGGTACGGTGACACACATTTAATGTAGTTTCGACATTGGTAGCTATCTTCTGCCGTCCACTTTTTAGAAGGTTTTTAACACTTCCGGTGTTAAGGAATTTTTTTAATACTGTGGATTGTGTATAATCGTACCATACAGCATTAATATTTGGATTCTTTGTCGTTCGCTTAATTGCTCCATATTTATTCACTTTTTGACATTTAAAGCTGTCAACGGCGCTATTTGGACTTTGATTGTAATTTGCTGATTTAATATTTTCAGAGAACACATTTTTTCTTGAGAGGGATTTATCTTCTATCAAAATATACAAAAGAAACATATGCATCCCATTTAAAATAACAATGTTGGTTGCCATAGCAACGAAACAAAACACAATGTAAACAATATATGCGCCACAATTAATAAAGAAATTATATTTGAAACATTTTTCTTTAAAACCACAAATGGCGAAGTTATTGGCTATATTCCAGACATTTGACACACCCTGTATATATAGCCTGCTGAAAGCATTAAATAGTCTTTGCCAACAATATTTAGCTTTCTCCAGGCAATTAGTAGTCTTTCCAACAATATTTAGCATTCTGAAAGTAGTTAATAGTCTTTTGGAAACAGTATCTTGTCTTTCCAAGCAGATAATAGTTTCCCCCAGCAGTATTTAGTCTTCTCCAAGCAGGTTGTAATCTTTTCTAGTAGTGTACAGGTAATTCAAATTCGACCCCCATTATTGGAATCTCAGAAACCATAGTTCTTAAAATATGGCCGAAAAACAAAAAAATGACTTCGTTTTTGCCTATAACTTCGTTTTTTCGTTTTTTGTGAATCTGAAAAAACATTCTTAAACAACTTTTTCAGACTTTCTCAAACTATCATCAGGTTTATTTTCTTTTTTGAATAATTCAATGTTTTTTTTAAATGAAATACATAGTGTGACATATCATGGAAATCAGAATTAATTATCCTATTTTTTAGTGTGAAAATCAAATATGGCGTTCATAAGAAAAAATAAACCTGATGATAGTTTCACGAAAACGAAACGTCGGAGAAAATTTCTAGTTGTGTCATGACATTCTTCATAAAAAGTTGCCTTAAGAATTTCAGATTCAATTTTTTCTGATTCACGAAAGAACAAAAAATTGAGAAGTTATAGGCAAAAAACGAAAAAGTAATTTTTTGTTTTTCGGTCATATTTTAAAAACTAAAACGGCTAGATTCAAATACTTAGTTGATGAGAAATCAACTAATCAAATTGAAAAATTATGAGCTCTAAGATACGCAACTTTGCCCCCATTTAACCATTTCTATATCTCTTATGATTTCTGAGATCCGAATGATGGGGGTTAAATTTGAATTACTCTGTATAGCGCTCTGAAAGTAAGTAGTCTTATGGAAGCAGTATCTCGTCTTACCAATCAGTTTGTAGTTGTTGCAGATTATAATCTTTTCCACCAGTATCTAGTATTTTGGGAGCAGTAGGTACCTTTTTTGGACAGCATATCTCTTCTTTCCAAGTAGTTATTAGTCTTTTCCAGTAATATTTAGCATTCTGGCAGCATTAGGTAGCTTTTTGGGAAGCATATCTCTTCTTTCCAAGCAGTTATTAGTTTTTTCCAGTAGTATTTAGCATTCTGGCAGCATTATATAGCTTTTTGTTAAGCATATCTCTTCTTTCCAAGCAGTTATTAGTCTTTTCCAGCAGTATCTAACATTCTGGAAGCGGTAGGTAGCTTTTTGGAAAGCATATCTCTCTTCCAAACAATTATTAAAGTCTTTCAAAATGCAATAAGTGATCTTGGAAGCAGTATTCCGCCTGCCCAAGTAGGTCAAAACCTTTAACAGCAGTGTTTAGCGTCCTGGAAGCAATAGGTATTATTTTGAAAACAGTATTTTGTCTTTTCCAAGTAAGTTGTGGTCTTTTTCTGCAGTATCTAGCATTTTAGAAGCAGTATGTAACTTTTTGAAATAGTATTTCCTCTTTCCAAGCAGTTTTTAGTCTTTTACTAGCAATATTTAATCTTCTGATTGCAATAATTAGTCTTTTGCCAACAGTATCTAGCATTCAGGAACCAATAAGTTAAAGTAGGACATCAGGTATAGATTTTATATTATATTTCACCCGAAAATATGCGTTTTACCAAAATGTGCTGAGATGACGTCACAAAAAGTGACGTAACGTCGAAACTTTAAAGTGATTTTTCGAACACTTTTACACTTTTCCGCACTTTTTTTTCTTTGTAACTTGTTACTTGAGTGACATGATGATTCTTGACTTATAACTTATTTGATTAAGTAATGAGTTAATATCATTTTGTTTTAATTTAAATAGTATCCTGTGAGACATGGTTTAGTAGAAGATTGGGACCTGATGGAACGTTTTCTTGAACAATGTATATTTAAATATTTGCGTGCCGAACCAGAGGATCATTATTTCCTACTTACCGAACCACCTTTAAACACACCTGAAAATCGCGAATACACCGCTGAAATCATGTTTGAATCCTTCAATGTGCCTGGCTTGTATATTGCCGTTCAAGCAGTATTAGCACTTGCCGCTAGTTGGGTTTCAAGGTCTTTAGAGGATAGGACTTTAACCGGGATCGTTATTGATAGTGGAGATGGTGTTACTCACGTTATTCCAGTAGCTGAAGGTTATGTTATTGGTAGTTGTATCAAACACATTCCAATTGCGGGAAGAAACATAACTTCGTTTATCCAATCGCTGTTACGAGAGCGTGAGATTGGAATTCCACCTGAACAATCGTTAGAAACGGCGAAAGCGATTAAAGAACGATATTGTTATATTTGTCCTGATATCGCGAAAGAATTTGCGAAATTCGATGCCGACCCGGCGAAATGTATAAAACGGTACGAAGGTATCAATTCAGTGACGAAACAACCGTTTGGGGTTGATGTGGGTTACGAGAGGTTTTTGGGTCCTGAAATTTTCTTCCATCCCGAGTTTTCAAACCCGGATTTTACAATTCCGTTATCAGAAATTGTTGATGATGTAATTCAAAATTGTCCAATTGATGTTCGCAGGCCTTTATATAATAACATTGTGTTGTCTGGTGGTTCGACAATGTTTAAAGATTTTGACAGGAGATTGCAAAGGGATTTGAAACGAACTGTTGATGCCAGACTTAAACTTAGCGAGAGTTTAGGGGGTGGACGAATTAAACCTAAACCTATTAACGTAAATGTCGTTACACATCATATGCAGAGATACGCCGTGTGGTTTGGAGGAAGTATGTTAGCATCAACGGTAATTAAAGAATTAAAATGGAAATGAATTTGTTATAATTTATTTTTTTTTTAGCCTGAATTTTATCAAGTTTGTCATACGAAGGCGGCGTATGAGGAGTATGGACCTAGTATTTGCAGACACAATCCTGTGTTTGGCACGATGACATAATTCCAAGAATTTAATTTATGAATATTTTTTACCATCATTTTTTATTTCGTATTTTGAAAGTAATAAAAAATTTATTAACGTATTTTAATCCAGGATGATAGAGCAATTTCTAAAATTATCCAACTTTAAGGTGATTAATTGCATTTTATTAATTAATTAAATAGCGGTCGAGTTCTTGTGTACATATAAATGAAAATTAAAAAAAAATAAAAACGTGTTCCATTTATAAAAGTTTTTGAATTTATTCTTTTCATGTTTTAAACCAAGATTAGAGACTTTAAAATTAACTGAATGAGATAAAGTATCTAGCAGTGGAGGATTTAAAGTAGTGCTTATTAATTGTTAGGTATCTTCAGTGTTTCTAGGCCTTTTACTCTCTAATAATATCAATTAAAACACTAACAACTTTATAATAATCGGTTACTGTCGTAAAGATTAATTATCCTAACATTTGTGTTTAAGATTATGCGAGGTTGCGTTCAAAAAATGATAACTCCGAAATTTGAAGTTACCAAGAAATGATCTTCAAAGTATTAAATACTAAATAAATTTGCTTTAAATTGCTTTTTATTTCATAACGATATCTCAATTAGTTTTCGAGATATTTAAAGATTAATTATCCTAACATTAGTGTTTAAGATTGTGCGAGGTTGCGTTCAAAAAACGATAATTCCAAAATTGGAAGTTTCCAAGAAATGATCTTCAAAGTATTAAATACTAAATAAATTTGCTTTAAATTGCTTTTTGTTTCATATCGATATCTCAATTAGTTTATGAGATAAGTTAAAATTAATTATACTAATATTTGTGTGTAAGATTTTGCGAGGTTGCGATCAAAAAATGATAACTCCGAAATTTGAAGATTCCAAGAAATGATCTTCAAAGTATTAAATACTAAATAAATTTGCTTTAAATTGCTTTTTATTTCATATCGATATCTCAAATAGTTTATGAGATACGTTAAGATTAATTATACTAACATTAGTGTGAAAGATTTTGCGAGGTTGCGATCAAAAAATGATAACTCCGAAATTCCAAGAAATGATCTTCAAAGTATTAAATACTAAATAAATTTGCTTTTTATTTCATATCGATATCTCAATTAGTTTATGAGATACGTTAGATTAATTATACTAATATTTGTGTGTATGATTTTTCGAGGTTGCGATCAAAAAATGATAACTCCGAAATTTGAAGATTCCAAGAAATGATCTTCAAAGTATTAAATACTAAATAAATTTGCTTTAAATTGCTTTTTATTTCATATCGATATCTCAATTAGTTTATGAGATACGTTCAGATTAATTATACTAACATTTCTGCAAAATTTTGCGAGGTTGTGATCAAAAAATGATAACTCAGAAATTTGATGATTCCAAGAAATGATCTTCAAAGTATTAAATACTAAATAAATTTGCTTTAACTTGCTTTTTATTTCATATAGATATCTCAATTAGTTTATGAGATACGTTAAGATTAATTATACTAACATTTGTGTGTAAGATTTTGCGAAGTTGTGATCAAAAAATGATAACTCCGAAATTTGAAGATTCCAAGAAATGATTTTCAAAGTATTAAATACCAAGTAAATTTGCTCTAAATTGCTTTTTATTTCATATCGATATCTCAATTAGTTTATGAGATAAGTTAAAATGAATTATACTACTATTTGTGTGTAAGATTTTCCGAGGTTGCGATCAAAAAATGATAACTCCGAAATTTGCAGATTCCAAGAAATGATCTTCAAAGTATTAAATATTAACTAAATTTGCTTTAAATTGCTTTTTATTTCATATCGATATCTCAATTAGTTTATGAGATACATCAAGATTAATTATACTAACATTTGCGCGTAAGATTTTGCGAGGTTGCGATCAAAAAATGATAACTCCGAAATTTGAAGATTCCAAGAAATGATCTTCAAAGTATTAAATACTAAATAAATTTGCTCTAATTTGCTTTTTATTTCATATCGATATCTCAATTAGTTTATGAGATAAGTTAAAATTAATTATACTAATATTTGTGTGTAAGATTTTGCGAGGTTGCGATCAAAAAATGATAACTCCGAAATTTGAAGATTCAAGGAAATGATCTTCAAAGTATTAAATACTAAATAAATTTGCTTTAAATTGCTTTTTATTTCATATCGATATCTCATTTAGTTTATGAGATACGTTAAGATTAATTATACTAACATTTGCGCAAGATTTTGCGAGGTTGTGATCAAAAAATGATAACTCCGAAATTTGAAGATTCCAAGAAATGATCACCAAAGTATTAAATACTAAATAAATTTGCTTCAAATTGCTTTTTATTTCATATCGATATCTCAATTAGTTTATGAGATACGTTCAGATTAATTATACTAAGATTTGTGTGTAAAGTTTTGCGAGGTTGCGATCAAAAAATGATAACTCCGAAATTTGAAGATTCCAAGAAATGATCCCCAAAGTATTAAATACTAAATAAATTCGCTTTAAATTGCTTTTTATTTCATATCGATATCTCAATTAGTTTATGAGATACGTTCAGATTAATTATACTAACATTAGTGTGTAAGATTTTGCGAGGTTGCGATCAAAAAATGATAACTCCGAAATTTGAAGATTCTAAGAAATGATCTTCAAAGTATTAAATACTAAATAAATTTGCTCTAAATTGCTTTTTATTTCATATCGATATCTCAATTAGTTTATGAGATACGTCAAAATTAATTATACTAACATTTGTGTGTAAGATTTTGCGAGGTTGCGATCAAAAAATGATAACTCCGAAATTTGAAGATTCCAAGAAATGATCTTCAAAGTATTAAATACTAAATAAATTTGCTTTAAATTGCTTTTTATTTCATATCGATATCTCAATTAGTTTATGAGATACGTTAAGATTAATTATACTAACATTTGTGTGTAAGATTTTGCGAGGTTGTGATCAAAAAATGATAACTCCGAAATTTGAAGATTCCAAAAAATGATCTTCAAAGTATTAAATACTAACTAAATTTGCTTTAAATTGCTTTTTATTTCATATCGATATCTCAATTAGTTTATGAGATAAGTTAAAATTAATTATACTAATATTTGTGTGTAAGATTTTGCGAGGTTGTGATCAAAAAATGATAACTCCGAAATTTGAAGATTCCAAGAAATGATCCTCAACGTATTAAATACTAAATACATTTGCTCTAATTTGCTTTTTATTTCATATCGATATCTCAATTAGTTTATGAGATACGTTAAGATTAATTATCGTAGCATTTATGCTAAAATTATGCAAGATTTAGTTTAAAAAATCATAACACCGAAATTTAAAGATTCTAAGAAATGATCTTTATAGTATTAAATACCTAATAAATTTGCTTTAAATTGCATTTTATTTTATAACGCTATCTCAATTAGTTTTTGAGATACAATTTCTTTAATATCTGTTCTTAAAGTTTAGAATAATCAAATACAAATATCTTACAAGCGACATCTTTTATTCAATTACAAAACGTATAATTATCAGTTTTGGTTTGAAACTCAACTAAAAAATAACGAAAATTCCAACCAATACATATTAATATATATTTTATTAGTTAACGACTTTTTACAGAAAAATAAAATAATTTTGCTTATAGATTTAATATATAGAAAATTGTAGACGCTTTAATAATCATTAATATACTTTTAAAAACTAAAAACAGTACATAGTTTTTTTTTCAATGTTGTAAAACTTAAAGATGCCTTCCCTCGAGCATAATAGACAGGGTCATATTATAATTTAGCGATAATTCCTCTCTTTACTTCATCTACATAAAAAGTACAATATCCTAAGTGAGATAATTGTTTAATTCATCATCATCGGATTCATCATTTTCATCGACGTCGGCATCGTTTGGAACATCAGGAGTTGGAACGTGACTTAATAAATCCCTCATTGCACCGACTAATGACGCAACACTACGTCTAAGGTCACCGAATTCGGCTCCATCACCTATTTCACCATCCGGAAGCGCCCTAGCTCCATCTTCATCTCTAAAAAATAATTATAAATCATTAATTAATTATAAATTAATAAAAATATGTTTTTACTCTAATAAATTTCCCACCAATTCGTTTGGATTGAAACTGGGTAAAAGAGAACGGAAGAAAATCCCAACTGTACTTGAGTTTGATGTTGTATTTTTGGGTCTTTTTGGTTTTGAGTAAATATTAATGGAGTCATCAGGTGGTAAAGGATCAAAGGTTAAAACACCACCTGTAAAATCCTAAAAAAAATATGAATAAAAATAATATTAAAATTTAATTTTTATTATTTATTTTACTTTTGGTAATGGAGAAACTCCTTTAATGTCGGATAAAATAATATGTCTACAAATACTTTTAGGCATTGGCCCTTGATATCTTTTAGACCTTTTTCCTTCGTAATCTTTAACAATTGGATCTTGTTTATCAACGCGATCAAGAACTTTATTAACGTTCCTTTCCAACCACGGAAGAAGATCACTTTCTTTCCAAATATGGTAACTTCTATTCACATATAATAATACTAATTGAGTTAAAACGGGAGATTGTCTAAAAAGAAAAATGTTTAAACGCATTTTTATTTTTAAAGTTATATTTAACTTACTTTGAATCAAAAAATGCATGATTACTAACTCTATTATCAGGTTGAACTGAACATTTTTCTAAAAGTGGTTTAAGTACCCCCGGAAACATCAACAGGGCATCTTGTAATAAATCATCGGCGTGAGATAAATCCCCATCGGCTAAATGAAAATGAGCGGCGGCTACGGAAAAAGCGAAATTCGGCAATTGGCTCAGATTTTTCGTTGGTTCCAACTCTTCGTAAAAATCGATAAACCACCGATACTCTCTCGAACGTAAAGCGTAAAAATCAATCGCCAATTTGACACCCAACGGATCCTTATCAGGATCTAACGATAATAATAATTTGCAAAACTCTAAAGCTGTTCGATAACAAGCTCGACCACCAACAAACAATAAATGTTTAAATATCGTTATGTATAAAGCCCTAAAAATCATTTACATTAATACAGGGTGTCTCATGTAACTGATTCGTTACAACTTTTTTAGGTTGCTCTATTCATAGGGGTTTGAAATTACCGGAAGTAGACCATAACTTCGTTATTTTAAATAGAATGCCATAGTTTTTATTACACTTTTTAATAGAATATAAAAAAATATGTTGACTTTGATAAAAGATATTGGTACCTGGGGTTTTTCGTTTTCGAGTTATTTTGGTTTTACGCTTTTTTTGGCAAATCTCACCATTCTCTTTAAAATCCCATATCTCAGCCAACGTTCATTCAGAAAAAGCAGAGTGTTAGGAAGTTATGAATATCTGGCCAAAAATCTAATTACAACTAAATCAAGTTGAAAATGTTTAATACCATCTTCTTAATGGTTAGCTAGGATTTATTTCATCTATAAACAGTGCTTAAAACAAAATTTAGGATTTTGAAACGAATATTTGAAAATAAAAGCGAAACAAAGGTTTTGTTGTGGGTTG